GATCAGCAAGACATTCTAGTCACTCACCTGCGTTTCTTTTCTCCGCAGAGAATCTGGTTATACGTCCCGCTGACAATTTTGTACTAATAAAGCTTTTTTGTAAAATCATCCTGATCTGTCTGTTTTGAAGATTGGGTCCAAGGTTCTGAGGTCAGAACTTTGGTGAAAACAAAAGGAAAGCTGTGCTGGCTGACCGACAGAGATCAAAACAATGCACAGTACCTGTTCCTCAGCAAACTGGTACTTTACAGAAGTGGGACCAGGTCATTGGTCAAGTCTCAAGTCATTATCCTTAAGTCTAAAGTTAAATCTAAAGCAAATGCTGGCAAGGATGAGACAGGTCTCAAGTTAATAAAGAAACTCTTAAAGGGATCCTCTACTAGTTGTGTCATGATCTTGGCACAGATGACTTGATTTTTGGTTAATTTCTTCCACCTGCCTAGCTCCGCCCAATTTTCATTTTCACTTATCAGATCCACCTGTTTCAGTTCCTATTTAAACTGCTCTTTCCCAGCCATCAGTGCCAGATTATTTGAGCCCAGTGTTTTTGGATTGCCTGACTAGTTACTGCCTCTGAACCTCTGAGTTTTGCTTGCCCCTGTTCTGATCTATTTTTCCCACCCGTCTTCGGATTGCCATTTGGATTCTGCTTGCTATCGACCTTCGATCTGTCTCCTGACTCCGGCTTGGATTCCCCTCCGGTACCTCTTCGGATCTCTGATCTTCTGGCCTGGACATCTGCTCCTGCATCGAAACAGACTTTGGATTTTCCCTCCTGATACTTCTGCTCGTCCTCATCTGCTGGCTTCTGCTCGTCAGTCTGCTCCTCTTCACATTTTCTGAGCTATTCCACATGGAAAATCAGATCATAATAATGGAGTGAAAGAAAAACAATATGTTTTCAAAAAATTTTCTTTTACTAATAAAAAGTTGAAAGTCCCCTGCAACTCTGGAGCCAGGGGAACCCCAGTCAGCCTCAGCAGATGGCCGCTCACACTGTGCCTGATTCTGCTGGAGGTTTCTTCCTGTTAAAAGGGAGTTTTTCCTCTCCACTGTCGCTACAAGCATGTTTGGTGTGAGGGTTTCCTTCAAGTCAATGATTCAGTGCAATCAACTGGTTTTCGTTAGATATAAACCTTTGAATCAATTTGACTGTAAGATCTGGTTGAATTGTCTCTGTACAGTGCCTTGAGATGCGTTGTGAATTGGCACTATATAAATAAACTAAATTGAATTGAAATTGTATTGGAGGACCTGCAGAGATCTGGGGTGGAAAGCCAGTTGACAGTTAGTAGTGGTCAGCACACATCACATTTTTAATAAAGACTAGAGACTGACACGGAAGTGGATTTTCACTCCTGTCCCGTCCCACTCCCACAGAAAAAAATGGTGTCCCGTCCCGATCCTGGGCCAGAGTAGAAATCTAAATAATGTCCCGTCCCACTCCTGGTGAAATTACTCCCACTCCCATCCCGCTCCCATTCAGAATGACTCCCGCTCCCGCACCACTCCCATTCTTGTTGTTTTTGAGCGCGTGTGAAAAACTCAGAGCGGAAGTTACTATTGGTTTGCTCCCGCTCCCGTCTGCTCCCGTTAATGTTTAGTCCTGTACCGTCCCAATCCCGTGATCGTTACTAATACTGACTCCCATCCCACGGGAATCCCACGGGAATCCCGTGACCCATGGGATTCCCGAAAAAATGTCAGTCTCTAATAAAGACCAAACAAATTGCTGAAAGAATGCATGGGGAAGCTCTGTTTACAGTTTGTGGCATAAGATCATCTATTCAATTGACCCCAAATGAAAACATTTAAACCTTTACGCTAAGGTCTCCAAGAGGCAAAAGAGTAACAACCTGAATTACAAACTAAAGACAAAGTGAAATATGTATGATTGTACAAATAGTTTTATAGAAGCTATGCAACACATCGCCATTACATTGCTCTATAGACATAACTGCGTATCACCTATACGTTTATACAGCTGCTGCATAATAATGGAAATCAGACAAATAACGTAAACTGTTAATAATTTTAAATAATTGTAAGGCAGCATGTTGTTTTTCAGTGTATTGTCACTGTTGTTAAAAATATTACATTTTGTCACCTGAACAGCATAAAGGGAGGTAAGCTGCCTGTCAGGAGGGGACGAGGTTTGATCAGACTCTCAGTATCCAGCAGACCTGAGGTCTCATAAATAATCAATATGCTGGTTGTGTAGCAGTCCCTCCAGGCAGAGAAACCAACATTTTATTAGTAAAATCATTAGTGTGTTGCTGGTGAAACGATTTGTTAGGATGTGCGTCTTTCAGTTTAATAGCATAATATGTATGGATAAATAATTAACTAATAAAAAAATAACACAACTAAGTTGTGCATGCATTAAACAGGCCTCCCAAGTCTAAATAATTATCTCCAAAACAAGCCTGTTTCCCTGCTTTAGTCCTGAAAACAAAACAAAAAACATTTACTCTACTCTCCTCACTGCTCAGATACCCCATGGCTGAATGCATCCATTATTGTGCCATAAAGGATGACAAAGGGCGCATCAATGCACAGTCTTTGCACATTTGCAATGTGAGGGCAACATGGCATGCGCTAGGTGGTGCATTGTGTAACTGAGCAAGTTTACTGTATAGGATTTGATCATTACTCTAAGAAAAAAAAAAGAAAAGAAAAATCTGTTGCTCAGCAGCGCCAGTGTGGCCCAGCGGCAATACCTCTCAGTATTGTGTTATTACAGCCCTCACAGTCAATTGACAGCAATAATACAAACGAAAGTTTGATTTAAGCTGTCAAAATAAGAGCTGTCAAAATAAGAGCTGTCAAAATAAGAGCTGTCAAAATAAGAGCTGTCAAAATAAGACAAGTGTCTAGAAACTTTTGTAGCTGGCAGGCGATTAATAATTAACAGGTAATACAAAAGTGATGAACCAAAAATGATATCTATTATGGTAGATAGGAATATTAATAATTTTACTAGCACTACTGCTGCTAATTAGTTGATTAATTAATTGATTGATTGATTGACTTTATTGATCTCACAGTGGAGAAATTAACTTGTTGCATTAGCTGAAATAGTCAAAGAAGAAGCATGTGCCAAAGGAAGAAAAAAAAAACAATCATGATAATATTTTATAATGCATCCAGCAATTTTAAAACAGGCTTAAATTGGAGGCAACTGGACTTCCATTTAATTATTTCTAAAAAGGGTATGACACCTTACCAGGAGTGTTTTGTCAAAATAGATAAATAAAAACTTAAATAAATAACTTTAAGATAAGTAGGTAATGATTTTTACCTGAAATTTGACAGATAAACTTAACATAGTAAGAATATGAATAATACGCTTAAAACTAGTATTGCACCGATACCAGTATCGGGGGCAGGCCCGATCCAGCACTAAAATGGTAGTATCGGTATCGGCGAGTACCAATAAATAGGGCAACGATACCATTTTGAGAGATTCACAAAGGTAGGCAGCAGCTTGACAAAGCCATGATGGCAATTATTTTACATCCAAGTATTATGCAGTTGGTATACAGATGGTATTGGTATGGTATCTGTATCGGTATTGGGAACCAAAAAATGGCGGCGGCGCAATATTAATTAAAGCCTATGGTTAAAGGAAATTGAAATAAAAAAGCAATAATAATAATAATCACAGACAGACAGATTTTATTTTGTCATTTTGTACACACAAGTTTATACAAATTTTTTTTTCCGTAAGTAGCCTACAGCTTTCTAGGATATTTCATTTTTTTAAAGAGCAACAGATAAAAACATTTGTGATTAAAAAAAAAAAAACACTGTGGTGAAAAAAGTGATGTAAACATATGACATGTATAGTTACAGTTTCAACATTCAAGATTTATATAACTTTATAGATATAGATTTATATAATAATAATAATAACAACAACCATTATAACAATATTAACAATAATATTGTTATTATTTTTAATTATTTGTTTATAATTATGTTTATTATTTAATAATTATTAATTAACATAGTAATAATATGAATAATACTCTTGAGAAAATAAAAACAACAATAATGATAATAATATAATAATATTAATTAGGTTTATTATTTAATAATTACTAACATAGTAATAATAATAATAACAACAACAACAACAATAATAATGTAATAATTATTATTATTGTTATTGTTATTATTATTATAAGTAGGATAAGCAGTTAGGATTATATTTGTCGAAATACTCAAACATTCTTAGAGGACAAAGAACCATAGAAAAATGAAGAATAGATAGTGTAGCCTAGTTCCAGAGCTTTCAGAGTGAAATGTGGCGGAAATGTTGCCCCGCGTGCGTGCTGTCTCGTGCTGCTAGCTTGACAAAGCTTCTGACCACGAACGAGCCAATCGGCAGTGGAAGGCAGAGTTGTTCCCTGTGGCCGCCATTAAAGAAAGGAATCCATGAATTCAAATGGAAACCAACAGGAACCGAGGCTCAAATAATGATCCAAACCATCGCTAAAACGTAGGCCGGAGCCACATTACAAGACGCTTCGCCAGGATGTTTGACACTTTTACCTTCAATTCAGCGATGGAGGAGTGAGACGAAGCGTTTTATTTTTTTTATTATTATTTTTTATTTTTTTTAAAGCGGCGATCGTTCTAAGGGGGAGGGGGAGAGTTGCTTCTTTGCTCTCCTTTTCTTTTTGTTTTATCAACATTTTTTATTTTTCTCCGCTCTCCTTATGGTTTGAGCGGAGTACTTTTGGGATGTCTGCATAGGGGCGGCATTGTCTCTTTTTATCCGCTTTTTTAAGCCCCGGCGGAGGAAAAAAAACTGCAGTCGGAAGGTTGTTTGTTGAATTAACTCCTCCAGCCAAATGTTACAGGAACATATTCCTCGCTGATTAGGCTCGCGCAGAGAACACACAGCGGCTCATTTTATTTTTTTATTAAATTAAATTTCCCCTGGACGTTAAGAAAAGAAAAAGATGGAGAGTTGGAGCTCGCAGTGAAGCAGGATGAGTTCTTGTTTCGTACCGAACGGGGCCAGCTTGGAGGATTGCCATTCCAATCTATTCTGTCTGGTAAGAGATTTAAAACTAAAGGAAAGCAGCCATTTTTAACTAGCTGGACGGAGGCTAGGCTAATGCTAGCCACAGAGCCATCACTTCATAGTAGCTTAGCCAGGCTTAAGGCCCTGTCAAGCTGACAGCATATTTACTACAGGGTTATTTAACTTCAAATAAAACTTATTTCTAACACTTTGACAGTTGGCTTCAAAGGGCCGCCGGTTGGCTTTAACTTTCACTTCAAGGAAATGTCAGTTGGTAAACAAAACTAGCAGCCTTCCTCACTCCTGAAGCTTCAATTAGGTTTAAATTTAGTTATTTTTTAATGGAGTAGACTGAAAAAAAGTCCTTTTTTAAAATTTTACTGCTGCAAGCTTCAGTAACGATGTTGTTGCACTTTCGCCTTGTTTATTATTAACCTGCTACTATCAGCCTCTGCATTTCCTCCATGTTTTAAATCCAAACACTTGATGCACTTCGCAGAGCAGCATGAGACCTTTGATCAGTCGCTACTGTTGATGTTTAATGCTGACACCTCCACGATCACTCTGCGTGTCACTGCACAGCCTGTCCACACAAGCAGAACAACAAGGCTTTTATTTTTCCTCGAAAGTTTCATTGCTCTGTGTTGTTCACTGCTTGTTTATGTGTTTTGTCGTTTGTCTCTGGCTTAACCCTTTATTGGGAACTCAGTGAAATCATTTAGAAATCCAAATTTCCAGCCAACAGTGTTGTTGGAATCCATGTAACATTTAAAAAAATATGGATATTTTGATGGGAAAAATTAACCCTTTATAGGGCAAGTTACCATTTTTGTTCCCTTGCATAGACCTTACAAATGGAGTCACCCCCGTCCCACAGTGTCTAGTCTAGAAGCACAAGATCTATATCCAGCCATTCAGCAAAGATGCTGCTACATAGCTCTACATCTTATTTTGGCATTTTACCAATTAGATGAACCCTTGAATGATATATTATCTACAGTAAATTAAGTTGAAAAGAAAAAGTTTAAAAGTCAAGAAAAAAAGGTAAAGAGCTAATTGAAAAGTTAATTAACCTAGTTAACAATTATATTTAGGTGTATAAACTAAAAGAGGTAAGTGCCAGTATCAGCAGTAATGCCTCCAAAGTTTTGTTGATCCAGAAAAAAATAGTTTCTTTCAATCTTTGTTTTTCATGAATTTCTTATAGAAGTACTTTTGTTATTTTTCTTAATTAATCAGTCAAGTTGGCATTTCTTGTTATTACATTGGCATAAACACTTTATATGGCATTAGGTGAAATCCTTTGAAAATCCAAATTTCCAGCCAATAGTGTTATTGGAATCCAGGACAACACCTTATTACCTTTGTAACATTAAAAAATATTGATATTTTGATGGCAAAAATGAATGTAATGTAGCAAGAAAAGCCAACTTGATTGACATTGGCAATATTGATTAATTTAATTGATTAATTTACAGTAGGTATAACCTTAGAGGCATTACTGCTGATACTGGCACTTATGTTTTTTAGTTTATACACCTAAATATAATTATTAACTAGTTAAATTAACTTTTTACTTTTTAACTTTTCACCTTTTTTTCTTAACTTGATAACTTATTTTTCAGCTTAATTTAATCTAACAGCCATGTTTTTGGACTGTGGGAGAAAGCCGGAGTACCCGGAGAGGACGCATGCACAGGGAGAACATACAAAGTCCATGCAGACCCCAGGCCGGGAATCAAACCCGAACCTTCTTGCTGCAAGGCAACAGTGATACCCACTGAGCATTTAGCTTTTTACCTTTATTCTTAACTTGATAACTTTTTTATACCAACTTAATTTACAGTAGGTCATTAATCATTCAAGGGCTCATCTAATTGGTTGAATGCCAAAATAAGATGTACAGCCTTGTAGTACTGTCTTTGCTGAATGGCTGAATATAGATCTTGTGCTTCTAGACCTCACTGAGGGACCGAGGAGGGAGATTCCATTTATAAGGGGTATACAAGGGATAAAAAAAACGGTAACGTGCCCTATAAAGGGTTAATCAGCTTGGACTTCATATTCTGGTATGAGTACCAACTAGGGCACAGGCTGATTATATAATCTCTGGCATTCAGACCTCTTGGCAATACAAACAGAAAAAAAATAGTTTGAAATGAAACGTATCCTGCTTTCCTCTGGATGTATTTCTTCATGTGATCGTGTTGCCAGTTGTGGCTGCTTAACATCCCCCTAAATAGCTGTGGTCAGAGTTCTCCGATATTATTTAAATCCCATTTGAGACAAACAGTGCATTAAGAGCCACAGCCTGCTCTATATTCTTGGCCACAGCAGCAAATCTAGAGGGCCTGTTTACAGTCCATCCTCTGGCCAGATCATCAGCAAAGCAGCAGCAGTCTGTTTTGTTGTGGCAGTTTATGCGCCTGTCGAGACGTTTTCACTACATTTGTGTGTCGATATGGGCATGCTAAGGTGTCAGTGATTTAACACTATGGTCATGAGCGTTGGGTCATGACCGAAAGAACGAGATCCTGGATACAAGCGGCTTAAATGAGTTTTCTCCGTAGTGTGTCTGGGCTCTCCCTTAGAGATAGGGTGAGGTGCTCAGTCATCCGGGGAGGACTCAGAGTAGAGCCGCTGCTCCTCCACACGGACAGGAGCCAGTTGAGGTGGCTCGGGCATCTGGTGCCTGTAACTGATTGTTGAAATCATCAAACTAATTTAGTCATCGTTAACTGGATTATAGACTCTATAACATGTCTTTAGTGGACATATACTTTGCATTTAAGATTAGAAAAAAACGTTTTTGTCTGTCAATATGTTCTATCCAAAACTCCTCGTGTGGAAAAGTTTTAGTTTCACTTGCTTTAAATTTTGCAAAAACTCTTGTTGAAAGAACATTTTGCTCCCCGATTATTATTTGATTAATCAAACAAATAATCCATAGATTTGTCGAATTGGCAAATTTATTGTTAATTGCAGCCTTTATTCAATCCAAGTTGAACTCAATCTGCTGATTTTAGTTTAAAGTTCATTTCAAGAGATGCAAATAAGTACTGATTTTTCCATTATTTAAAGGCCTGCTGGTGGCAAAAAGCTTTTAGACAGAAATAATAAAAAACTGAAACATGCAGTCAGTTATTGTTTATAAGCTGCAGTAGTATGTAGAGTAATATGCTTGGAAACACTCTAACATCTCAAGCCTAAGGGCAGTTTAGAGACAAAAACCAACCTGGGAGAGAACATGCATGCAAGCCTCACGCAGAAAGCAACTCCTCTGTCTCCATCTGACCCCATCTTCTGATGGAGATAGACGACCCGCAGCCAAAGGTAATAGATATTATTCAGCCTGTAATTATAAAAGCTATTTTAGCAGCAGTATGAACAAATCCTGCCTATTGTTTCAAATAAATAAGCGTTTTAAACAGTTTAGTCCCTTTTTTGATGAACTGACAGGATTGCCAGACTGCACTGATTATATATGTAGCGTGCCAAAGAAACCAAAAGGGAGACCTGAGCTTGGAAATGCATCATTTCAAATGCTGACATTAAGAGCATTATGATAACAACATAATGAAATACAAGCCTGCTTTTAGCTCCCGCACCGACACAGCTTCCAAGCTGTCCGCCCTTTTTAAAGGTAACATTTTTCTGCACAGAAAGAAAAGGAAGAAATCCCCAGTCTCAGTGCCGCTCGCTTTGGCCCCGGCCTCTGCGCGCCCAACTCGTAATTATAATGTTTACGACCTCGCTTGAAGGCATCGTCGGCTGCAGCGGACGGACACGGCGGAGGAATGGCCGCTGCGGCGCGGTGCCCGTCTGGCTAACATTTTTCTGCACACTGAGACTAAGCATAACACTGCTGATGTTATGACTCACTTGCTCAACAGAGTCCACTTTGTGGTTTTTATGGCAGAAGAATGTGAACACGTTGTTTCTTCTGCGGAGGGTCTCCTCTGGCGTGCTCTACTGTTCAGTAATGCAAATAAACCAGTGAGAACCAACTGGACTCTACCTGCAAAACTTTAACTTGTTTAGCAGCTTTTCACTCAGTGAAAACGGTGGGGGATTACCGGCGGCTGCAATTTGCATCAGTTTTAGAACAAACGTACAGAAAAGCAGCTGTTAGTTTCATGTTGACTTTATAACAGGGTTAATTGGGGGGTGGAAAGAAGAGTTGGAAGGAGAGCAGCATCTGTGTCATGATTTGAGCATTCTCACCTGTTGTCTCATATCTTAAAAAGCTAGAAATGCAGCTGTTTGAACACAGTGTTCCCTATTCAGGTCTCCAGAGTTGCCAGAGGGAAGGTAAGCAGCTGGCAGAACCAGAGGTCACAACCCTCAGTTCTAAAGCATGCATCACCTCAGGAAAAACTCTGCTGTATCCAGTGGCTTCAGCCTCAGGATCCCCCCAGCTAATGCACCGACGCCATTCCTGGCTCTGGCATTATGAAACCTAAAACTCCAGCTCACAGCGCTGGGTGTGCTGCTCGGACACAACTAGCTGCTCACAACAAGCAGGAAGGAAGCCGTGTTGATTCACTGAGAAAAATCTGAGGCTCTCTCATGTGCTGCCTGGAAAGCCTTGGTTGTTGGAAGGAAATACTCAGGAATCTTTGGCATTCTGCTGCTTGTTTGTTGTTTTTTTTTTTACACAGTCTGTAACTAATTTATTTTAAAAAGTAGAAACCACAGAGCTGTCGTAGGCAGCAGACTTGTTGCGTGTAGTTTTTATTCATTTATTTTTTGGTCCAATTTTCAATCTCCAGGGGATTTAAGGACTCTTAGAATGAAATTAGATTTAACCTCAGCTGTAAAATAACAGCTAACAGCGTAGGTTGATTCAAGATTTTTGTGGTTAATCTCCGGTTTTTGACGAATGGCTTTTTAAAATGTCTTTTCTGGTCTCCCTCCTTGAGAGGTCATTAAAAATGTATGTTTGGAAAATAGACGTCACACCTTTACTTGAGAACGAAATCTTAAGAAAGCCGATTTTCCTCCTATTTATAAATAAAAACAGGAGGTTTA